CTGCTCTCCAGCCATTCTCCCCCCAGCCTGGTCCAACAGCCCTGAGTGAAATACGGGGTGTGTTAGGAGTTGAGGAGCTGGTGTAATGTGTGAACTCACTGAGTGACTTTCTTGTTTCTTAAGACTGTGGCACCAGCTGACTCTGCAAGTGTTGGACTTTGTGCAGGACCCGTGCTTCGCCCAGGGAGATGGACTCATCAAGGTGAGGTGCTCGATTGCTCCCAAGTTTCTCTCTCTGTACCAAAGATGAGTGGTGGCATTTTTGTAGTAGTGAAACATAAGCAGCCTGTGGCTTGTCTCTGGAGAGCTGTTACATGAGGTGAATCCAGGTTTCTGGGGTTTATGCACTAGGTGTGAGTGTGCAGGATTTGGTTGGTTATGAAATTCTGTCCATGTAAGAAGCTTCAGAGGAGTCTTTGATTTCATTCACGTGAGGTTTTTTGGGGGAGAGGGGTGCAGGGGGAGCCTTTTTCTCTTCCTTTTGTAACAAGGGGTTTCCAGCTGCGAGTGGAGGAGGGATTGTCAGGTGTTCACAAAAGCTTCCAGTGGTTTGGTTGGTTGTTTCACCTGCTCTCTGCGAGCTCCTTCCACTGGTGAAGATTCACAATACGCTCAGTGCAGAGTCCCACGTTGTCTGTATGCTGTGAGTGATCATGTACTTCTGCTCTCCTTCATGTTTTTAGGTTAAAATTCAGTTTCCCAAGAGAGTTATTTCCATGTTAAAGAGCCGTGGATTACTAGAGACCTTGTCTTTTCTGAATGTGCAGAGAAATGTGGAAGCCTGAGGCCTGTGTTTGTGGTACAGTGGCAATGAGGACACGCAGCAGGCAGGCCCTGTGTTGTACCCACTAGCTCATGTATTTCTTGAATCCCTCCTTGCAGCTGGAAGGAGTCTGCAGAGCTGGAATTCTCTGAAATGAGCAATTCTTGGCTCCTGGGTTCTGTACAGTGTAGATATTTCTGTATTGGATGCCCACTGCTTTGTTGGAAAGATTAATTGGAGTACAGAAGCGAGTGTCGTAGCTGAAACAAACGCCCTCGTGCCCTGACTGTCCATGTCTTTGTGCCCACAGCTGTATGAGAACTTCATCAGCGAGTTTGAACACAGGTGAGCTGGTTTGCCTGCAAGTTCAGAGGTAAGGGGCTGTTGACTAAGGCTGTGCTGACAGCGAGTGTTCTGTTGTAGGGTGAACCCCTTGTCCCTGGTAGAGATCATCCTTCATGTGGTCAGACAGATGACAGGTAAGTGTCCTCACTTGTTACTTACGGCATTTTTAGCTGCTGCTCTCTGTGAAGTTTGGCTGGTTAATGGTGAGAGCTGAACCTTCCATGTTAAGCTGTTGTCTTTCTGGTGTGTTGGAAAAGGAAAGCACTAACTCAGAGCTTAAGTCATTGCTGCTACCTGGAGTAGCAGGTCTGCTGCTTCGCTGGAGGAGTGGCTGTGAGCAGGAAGCCCGGCCTGTGACAGCAGCACCTTTGGAAGGCTGAGTGGTGCACTATAGAAAAAATATGTCCCATTCTTCATGAACCCAGCAAAAGGGTGTATTTCTAGGCTGAGTTTTGTTCTGTGGGAATTCCTGATATATTTTTTTTTCCCCCTCTGCTTCAGATCCCAATGTGGCTCTTACTTTTCTGGAAAAGACTCGAGAAAAGGTATTTTTGAAGTTGCTCTTTCTGATAGTCCACCTGCAGGAATCGTTTTGCATCTGAGCACTTATGGTAAAGCTGGAGAGGCAGATCCGTGTGTGTTGATGCCTGTGCTGGAGAATGCCTGCTCCTTTTCTGAGTGAACAACTCTGTGCTTTAATGCAGGAACATGTTAACAAACGAAATGCAACCAACACACTCTAGGCTTCAAGAGCCTGCGCTGTCTAAACGTGTGTCTCTGACTGCAGGTGAAGAGCAGCGATGAGGCCGTCATCTTGTGTAAAACCGCCATCGGGGCGCTCAAGCTGAACATCGGGGACCTGCAGGTCACCAAGGTGAGCTCGTGGCTTGAGCAGTTCAGGCGTTGGGGTATCTTGGAGAACTGAGATGCCCTTCAGTTACTGCAGCGTGGATGTGTCTGTGTTTTGAATGAGAAGGTGACAGGTTGGCAGTTTGGGGGGGTTTCCAGGAAGACCTGCAGTTCTGCTTTACCTCTTGCAGGCCATAAAAATGTGTGTATAGTACTTGGGGCCAAATCTCTGGAGGTTCAGAAAGATCCTGGTGCACGCAGCCTCTGAGGTGCTGTTGCAGCTGGTCACTGCAGCTGTTGGTGTGCACAGCTCGGAAGAGAGGGAAGAAATATTTGACATATTCCAGTTCACAGCTTAGAGGGTCTCATGAATTCAACAGGATACACGCTGCTCGTTGGCGAGCTGCTAACAATGACTGAATTAGTGTCTGGTTTCCTGTGCTAAGGATGTTGTTTATTTCATCTCTTGGCTTTTTTTAGAACCTTCTCTTAAAACTGAGGGTTTTTTATGCAGCACAGCTTTGTGTCTCTTAGAGCAAGTACAAGGGTTGGTGGGTATAAGCATACACAGAGTGTGTGTGTATATATATGTATATAAGTATAGCTGCAGGGTTGTTTTTTGGGAGTTTGGGGGGTTTTTTACCTAATTACTATGTAAAGGGAGAATGCTGTGGCTTTATCCTCAGTGCTGTGGTAGTGGCTTTGACTGTGGTCTCATCTGCTTTACTGCTGGGTGGATGTTACTTCTGGACCACACAAGAACGCTGTAACCCTGGCAGTGGGGAGGTAGGAGGCTGGGAGCAGGGGTGTGCATGTGCTGTACCTTCACCTGGCACAAACAGGTTTGCACCCTCCTGTAGGAGACCATCGAGGAGGTTGAGGAGATGCTGAACAATCTCCCTGGGGTGACTTCGGTTCACAGCCGCTTCTATGATCTCTCCAGCAAGTACTACCAGACGATTGGGAACCATGCCTCTTACTATAAGGATGCTCTGCGGTTCCTGGGGTGCATTGATGTTAAAGACCTGCCAGGTAACTCCTCTCCCAACCATGGAAAGCCCCAGTTTTCATTTTCTGTTTTGTCTCTTCACCCTAAATAAAGGCAGTGGCAGAGAACAGGTTTTCTCAGCGTTATTTTGAATCTGTCATAGTTGGGCTGGGATTTAGCTAGGAAGAGGAGGAACCCACGGGAGGAATGGCTGAGTAGGATTCTGCTCCTGAGCTGTGTTGAGGTGAGGGGGGAAGTGCCCCCACCAGAAGGGATAGTTTGTTCTAGTTCCCAAAAACCTTCACTGTGGATTCAAAGAGGGGCCCTTTGGTGCTACTGCTGTGGTTACTGCAGCTTCTGAATTTCAGGCTTGGGAGAGGATGAGGGGGACTGAGAAGGATTTAATACAGACACGCAGGAGGGTGAGGGAGGGGTTGATGGGGTTTAGAGTGCTGCTTCATCTGAGCTATTTTTGTAGTTTTGGAGGGTTTTTATTTATATATATGTATATCTTTTTTTCAGTATCAGAGCAGCAGGAGAGAGCCTTTACCCTGGGACTGGCAGGGCTCCTGGGGGAAGGTGTTTATAACTTTGGGGAGCTGGTAAGTTGATGCTGCGTTGCCTCATCTCTTGAGTATCAGGAGTTGGTTTTACCCAGTTAACAGTGTCCTGCCTGGTTTCTGCAGCTCATGCACCCCGTCCTGGAGTCCCTGCGGAACACGGACCGGCAGTGGCTGATTGACACGCTTTATGCCTTCAACAGTGGGAACGTAGAGACCTTTCAGGCTCTGAAGTCAGCGTGGGGTCAGCAGGTGAGTGACTGAAGGAGTTGCTGTGTTGCTTGAGGCCCAGGCTCGATATTTACAGGATGGGATTCTGTGGACCTGTACTTTAAGAATACCTGACTCTGGTGCACTGGTGTAATTCTCATCATAGCATGGAAATGTTTCTTTCATCTTTATATGCGTCATTAGTTTTCTTTTGGCTTCCCTGTGTGTCTGGTTGATTGAAAGAAGTAAAGAGAATTCTCTTGTGATCCAAGGGCAAAGCAGACAAAGACATCATGCAGTCCTGCACAGGAAGATCATTTCTGATTTAATTTCCATAACGCCAGGCACTCCCAGTATTAAGCTGCTTCCAATGTAAAATAGTGGGTTTCCCTTGTGTTTTGGGAAGTTTGAGGAGAACAGTGGTGTTGGCTACTAACCACCCTGGCTATATGAGAAATTACTGATGTAGCACCAGTTTACAGGTCAACTGTGTCCACGTGCACAAGGCTGTGGCCTTTGATTGGAGGTTCCCTGCCTTGTGAAGCGCTGATTTTAATTGTGCCCTTGTTGTGATTTGTTTTATGGAACCATTTCCGGATAGTGGGTGGGATGTGACGGCCTCCTCCCTCGTAAAGGAGGGTCCTGGGTCCCCATGTGCAGCATGCTGATCTCTCCCAGGGTGGGGGGAAAAAAAGTAATAATGAACTTTTTTATCCTCTTACAGCCAGATCTGGCTGCAAATGAAGCGCTTCTGCTGCAAAAGATTCAACTGTTATGTCTTATGGAGGTGAGCTGAGAGCTGGGATGTGTTAAACGTGGGGAATGGAAAGGGACTGCTCCTTTGTGTTCTCTGCTGGGTGCATCCCTTCACTGACAGAAACTCGTGGATATAACAACTTTACTGCAAATTTTGCCTGTAGGTGGTGCCAGAAGGCAAATAGTTCAGGAAAAAAAGCCTTGTGGTGCCCTGCTTGTTTGCAGTTGCAAGGGTGTGCTCTTTCAGGCGGGATGTGGAGGTGGGGAAGAAAAGAGCAAGCTTTGTATCTTGAGGATGGTACCTGAAATGATAACTCTTAAAGTATGTTCTAGTATAGTGTGATTTTAACTGTGGTTTAGAAATCTTTATTTTCCTAAGGACTGAAAATCCTTTCCCTGATAGGTAACCCCAAACCATTAAACAGTTTCCTTCCTGTCACTTGAAGGCTGTGGCTCTGTTGTTACCAAATAACAGAGGTGTGTAAGCCTCCGTGGCTCTGGATCTTTTTTAAAAACCCTTAAATATTGAGTTACCAGGAGTGTAAGGTATGTTTGTACACACCCACGTACTGATATGTGAGTATGGTGATGTGTGTATATATATTCCACCTCTAGTGTTTTACTGTGAATGAGCTTCACCAGCTATAGGTGCTGTGTTACCTCAGGGATTTGGTGCACACTGAGATGTTTCACCACAGATTGATCTGCTTTATTTGGAGATTATGTTGTTGCCTTGGAAATCTGCTGCTCGGAGCAGCAAGGTGCACGTGGAGGAGGGAGCGGGACTGCTCCTTTCTGCTGATGTAAATACATTTTTCTTTGAAGTATTTTGATTAAATATGAGAAATGCAGATTGAGAGTCATCAGAGCAGTACGAGGGAAGCTGGGTGCACTGTGGGAGGAGACTAAAGCTGCGTGGGGTTTACTCTTTGTTTTGCTCACTTGGATTCAGATGACTTTCACCCGACCCGCCAATCACAGACAGCTCACTTTTGAAGAGATTGCCAAGAGTGCCAAAGTCACTGTGAATGAGGTGAGTTCAGGTTCAAACAAACTTATTAATGTCTAAGTTTTGAAGATGTAAAAGTGTCTGGATAGACCTGCTGCTGTAAGTGAACTCTAAGGAGAAATGTTCTCCCCTGTTCTTGTGCATTTGGAGAACTTTTTTTCTTTGTTAAGGAGGAATTAACTGCTCGGTGCTTCTTTTTCTTGGTAAATCCATTTTTGAAGATTCTTTGTCATAGTCTTAAGTTGGAAGAGAGCTCTATAGGTTGTCTGTTCCCACCCACTCTTGAAAGCCGGCCTTTGGATGAGGTTATGCAGGGCCCTGCCAAGCTGTCTTGAGTATTTCCAGTGTGGGGAAATGTCACTGATGTTTAACTTTTCTCACAGTGAAGAATTTTCCTGTTATTGAGATGGGATCTCTGCTGAAGCAAATCCTGCCTGTGGTCTCTTGTCTGCTCACCCTGCATCCTTGTGAAATTAGTACCTCTTATCTGCACAGTGCAGGGAGACTGTTCTGAGGGATCCCCAAGCTGCCTGTTCCCAGGCTGAACACCTGACACTGTGGGTGGTATTGTTTCACGTGCAGGACTCCCTGCTTACCTTCACTTCATGTGATGTTAGCCCAACCTGTGGGGGTCTCTCTTCATGATAGCTCTTATTTCTAGCACATCTATCTCTCCCTGTGAGTTTGGTGTCATCTATGGAATTGTCATCCAGCTAGTTTAAAGATAATTAAAGGAAATTAAATAGTAACAGACCCAGTGTGAACCCCTGAGGAGCGCTACTTGTGACCAGCTGCCTGTTGAGCTTTGAGCCACTAACCACTACTGTTTGTGCTCAGTGGTTCGCAGGTTTTCCACTCGCCTTGTGGTCCTTCTCTCCCTTCTGTAGCTTACCAGTTTGCCAACAATCATGTGGTAGGTCTTGTTGAAAAGTAAAGGTACAGGCACCTCCAGCACTCTGACCACTGAGCAAGTTTTATAATTTAAAAAGACAATCATATTGATTGAGCACATCTGACCTGTGGCAAAGCTGTGTTGACTTTTTCCAATTACCTTGTTCTTCCTGGGATTTCAGAGAAAATAAAATAAATCTGTTCTTAGGGAATGTTTGTTTAGATGTTGAGTCTCTAGGCAGTATTATAACCTAGGAGAGGATGGATGCGAGAGAGGCTGCAGCTGCTCTTGGTTTTGTTGTGTGTAGTAAAGCCTTCTGCAAGCTAGTGCCTTTTAGAGGTTTTATTTGTCTCCAGGGAACTGGGTGATTCACAATTGTTTCCTCTGATTACTTTTTTATTTTTAGGTGGAGCTGCTGGTGATGAAGGCACTCTCGGTAGGCTTGGTGAAGGGCAGTATTGATGAAGTTGATAAGAAGGTGCACATGACATGGGTACAACCACGGGTGTTGGATTTACAACAGGTAATGACCAGCATGAATACTAAGGCAGTATTAACTTTTCTTTGTGAGCTGAACTGGGAATTAAAATGGGAACTGAAGAGTGAAGAGTCACTGTCTAAGAAATAGTCTCCTTAGTGCTTCTTGAAGACGCTCAAGGAAGGAGGAAGTGTGTCAGCTTTTCCTCATTCCTTCTTACATCGCCGCCCTTAGCCCTTACCTTGGGCGTAGGGTGCATCTGGTATCTGTGCTTTGCAGTAAGCAGGGGGAAGCCTGTCAGGAGATAAAATAGGGTATCAGTGACACTTCTCTTCCAAAAGCCACACAAACCACCATTAAACACAAATGCTATGATTGTGTTTTCCAGAAGGATGTGGACATCTGTGTGGCTGCTTCAGGCCTGAATGTGTGAGACAAAGTCTGGGAGATTCTGGGTTGTAGGTGCCACACTGGTCTTGGGAAGAGAGAAGTTCAGGGTGATAAAGGTGAAGGTGCTGAGCTTCTCAAGTTCGTCCTCCTAATATTTTAGGAGACTGTATAGGATACTTTTACCTTTAAAAAAAAAATTCAGTACATGGAGTTGCTGCAAGCAATTCCTTCTGTGCATTTCAATTTAACTTTGAACATTACTGCTTTGGTGACAAAAGATGTGAAGTAGAATCTTCTCTGGATCAGGGGGGCTTTGAGAAGTTGTTCAGGATCTCGAGTGTTTGTCCGTAAAGCTGAATATTGGTATTTCCAGTAGTCGTGGCGTTCAAGTTGTTGTGGACTTGCCTTGCAGATCAAAGGGATGAAAGACCGCCTGGAGTTCTGGTGCACAGATGTGAGGAGCATGGAGATGTTGGTGGAGCACCAAGCTCATGACATCCTGACATAGAGGACCTCGCGCTACCCCTGGGAGGGTGATCCTACTGCTACTGACGCCAGCAGCACTCAGACCACTGACTCTGTACTGAATTCTGTTGAAGGGGGGTGGGTGGGCAGAGGGGAGAGCAGCTTTCTGATGCTTGTTCGGAGGAGTAAGTGGCCTTTTGCTGTGTAACCCTTTGGTGCTTGGAGTCAAGATTTCCCTACGCGCTAACATTAGTGGCACTGACCGCGAGAGCTCCCGTCCTGCTCTCCTCAAAGGAGGACTAAGGCTCCATAGTGGTTGGTTTCTCAGCCTTGCTGTCAAACTCTCGTGGCA